GTTTTTTTTTTTTTACCCAATTTTTTTGTAAAATATAAAAGGTCACGTCAGGTGAACAGATACCAAACATGTCAAGCCTTAAAATTGTGTTCTCCCGTGAAGCCGCAAAAAACGTACCCCAAATTTTCCATAGGGGACACTTTAAAAGCTTTTACTGCTCATCAATTTAGTGCGAACAGTGATTGATGGCCATAGAATTATTTCTCTCCCGCCGATGTTTCGTTTTTGCACATAGGCGCACCGATGCATGCTTGCGTATGTGGGGGGGGGACTTAAACATTTTTTTTTTTTTAAAGGAGAACTATGGGGTTAAGTCTTTTCCCCATAGTTCTCCTTAGGGTAACGGGAGGACACAAACTAGCGTCCTCCTGTCACCCTAGGCTCAGTATACAGCGAGCTATAGCTCGCTGTATACTGAGACGCTGAAGCGGATCCCGACAATTGTGCCGGGATCCGCCCAGCTGCGTGACTGACAGCTGGCTCTGCCTATCTAGAGGCAGAGCCAGCTGTACCCGCCCCCTCCCCCGTCCGTTCCGCCAGATCGGAGCGGGGAGGGGGGAATCCAGCCCCGAGAGCCGGTATATGTACGCTCACCTCCCGATCTACTGAGCCGACCTGTGACAGTCTCATTGTCACAGGTCGGCTAGCACTATGAGGATGAGTGAAAATCACTCACCTCATAGTTCTCCTTTTAATGTTACCTACATTTTTTTTTTTTTTTACACCAACTTTATTACTATCACATAGGGGGCTAACCAACCCCCTATGTAATAGCAAAAAGGGTGTGAAAGGTCCTCTTTATGGAGACAAGACATGCTTCCCCAGATTCTTCTTCTTATGACTCTTAAGAGCCGGAGAATGTGCACAGTGACACTGGAAGTGATGTAATACACGTCACTTCTGAGTTCAGTGATAGGAGGAGGGTTCAGTGGCTGGAACCTGCTGAACTCTCTCTGATCATTGCGGGGAGACCCGTGGTGCCGGTCCCAGGCCCGCATGGGGGACAGCGGAGCCCGGGAAAGCAGGCGGAGGGGGCAGCACATTCCACCGAACGGTACAAATGATCCGAAGGCAGTATAGACACCGGATCGCTCGGATCTCTTGTATCTTAACAGCCATTGCCGGGTGTTTAAAACTACACCAAGAACACAGCTGCAGCAGCAGCTGTGTTCTTGCTATAACCACTATATATGTATTTACCACTAATATATATATTTATGGCTACCCCCCACAGCAAGTGGTTAATTCAGTTAGATAGTAACATCCTCTATATATCTGGGACATAAAGGATTTTTGTAGCACACATTTCTTGACCAGTCATGCAAGGGCTTGGCTCGAACCAAGTTCGCCCAAGCCACGCAATCCTGTCAGTGACCTACCACCCTCCAGGCCCAGTTAGTTGCGGCCTGAGCATTCTCTGCCTCTATTATTTATACTTTGTGAACTTGGTTAAAAAGTGATGACAGACTGGGGAGGGTCCCCGGGCGACCTTGGCTCAAAGGAAGTGGGTTGTATGATGCTGGTCATTGACTGAGATCATCTCTGGCAGAAAAAAGTACTGCGGGAGAAATCTCTGGATTGAAGTTGAATATTGCAATAGAAGTTGTTTTTCTATTTTATAATTTAATGGGCTATTCATTTTTATTTTTGACTGGTTTTGATTTAATACGCTTAATTTTGAAAATGTATTTACAGAAGAGTTTGTTTCTAGTACCTCATTAGTCAATTTCATAAACATCTACATAATGACGGCTATAACTGCTTTTTTTTTTCTGGTTAATTAGGTGTTGACTTGACCAACATAATTAAGGAGGTTCAAAAACAAAGTGATGGGAGTGAGGCTGCCTCAGGCCATGGCATTCTGCAGGTAGGTGTGCTTTCTTTATCTAGGAATATGGATCCCCTGCAGCCAAAAGTCTTTTTAATGTGCGTGCGTTTTGTTTTTAACATAGGGAAGGTTAGAACAGGTCATTGTTTCCTGTTGGGAGGTTTCCCTTCACTTTCTGTCCCAGTGACAAGGGGTCAGAGGGACAGAAAGGTGAATCTTTTATTTTGCTGTAATAATATTATTATTGAATACAGAAATCAAGTAAATAAAAGCTTGTTAAATATATACCAGTTATTTCTTTCTGTCATTGTTTTCATTGCAGACATTGGATTTGTTGAGACAGGCTGTGGATTCTGGGTCTGCAAGCCCTTGCTCTAAAATTCTTATCCAGTTTGGAGATCAGTGCAAACAGGGCATGGGACATCGTTACCTAGCAGGACAGAAGTCTGCCTATTCAGTTCTTCTTGAAGCCTGGAAACTTTCTGAGGACGACAGGGAAGTACTATTGAATGCTCTTTATGCTATGTCCTGTCTTACTGATGGACAGCCTGATTTGATGGAGGGTGTTGGAAAGGAGCTGTTAATTCGTAATTTAGAGAAATATTCAAATGATGCTGAGGTGACCTTGATGGCAACCCGTCTCACTCGGCACATGTGCCTGAAACATGAGCAGAATCGTCAAGACCTTGTCAAAGCAGGCATTTTACCACATCTTACAAGAGCCATATCAAACCATGGAGCTGATCCAGATTTGGTGCGTGAAGCTTGCTCTGCTTTGAAGATCATGACCTTTGATGATGACATTAGGGTTGCGTTTGGACAAGCACATGATCACGCAAAGATGATTGTTTTGGAGAATGGAGGCCTGAAACTGTTGATAGAAGCTGCAAAAGGTATGAAGTGTATATTGTCCTGCTTGTATTTTTATTTAAAACATTTTTTTTATATATATTAAAATGATATAACAAAAACCAGACCAAAAAGGAACAAATAAGAGTTTATCAGGCTTTGCATGCTTTAAAGCCAGTCTAAATGACCCTTTATGGTAGGGCCCAATTCAATAAAGTCCTAAAATGCATACCTCTACTCAGCATAGGGTCCCTCTAGAGACAGCCTTTTTCCTTGTCACCTCCTCTTTAAAGCCATGGGATCTATGTGAAAGAGAGGCACTGGCTGAGTGCTGAGGCAGATGCAGCTAAACAAGTTAAAACAAAATGTCTGTGTATGATTTGGACTTGTTTTCACATCCCAGGAGATTAGAATCTACAAGATAATTGCAAGTGATGCTTAATACTGGGATAATTGTTTGTAATTATCAGGTCCATTCTAAGGACCCTATCAGGTCCATTTTATGACCATTCTAAGGGCCCATTAACACCACTGCTGTCTGGTGCCTTGCATTAATGCTCCCATTTTATTTGAATGGTAGTGTGTTGTATCCTAGGTACATTGGGAAACCATTTAGAATAATTGGCAGTGCATCACACCAACATACGCATCACTGCATTCCAATGGTGTTAATGGGCCCTAAGCCAACCAACATATTTTGTGGCTTATTTCTTCATCAAGTGAGGGACATAGGAAGTCATATAGTGTTGAGTAATATTTCTTCCTACATGAGGATTGCACAAACATTTTGTAGGCTAGCCCAGGATAACCCCTCCCACTTCCACAATTTTTTGCTAGTGTCCTGGGAGGATAGGTGTGTCTTTTTTTTTTTTTTCTCTTTTAGCTCCTTGCTGTAGTGAGGTGGATATATGTCTTGGCAGTTTTTTTTCCCCAGTCATGTACCCCCTTCTTCTAAGATCTTGGGGTCAGGTGAGCCAAGGCTTACAGCCTCCTTTAGGGAGACTGTGGTTTCCCATACCAGGACATTGTTCAATTCCTTTATATGATCCTAGTCTTTGGAGAGGTTTTCCATCTCAAGCATGTTACTCACGCTTAGATGGTGATTCCTTTCCTCTTGGAAACTGTTGATTCTGATCCATATCCTGGTTGGATTGGATTGACCAGTTCCATGTTTTGGGCTATCTTTAGGGAGTTTGGCCTGATCTGTTGTCAGCTCCAGGTGTTTGATGTCCATGTATCGATGTTGAACTTCATACAGTCTACAGTTGTTCACATTGGGCATGTTTAATGGTTGTTTACCATTGCTCACCCCTGTTGGACTGGTTTTGATCATCCCGACAGTATATGACTTTCGGTGTCCCTCAATGCATGACTAAGAAAATAAGCTTTTTGTGCTGGTATGGCTACAACTTTTTGTTTGCTAGTGTCCAACCCTCCTGTAGATGTCAGCATAAGCCAACAGTATATCACTTCCTGTGTCTCTCAAAGGGCTCCAATAAACACATTTTATCACAGGGAGTACAACAATCCTGTTTTCTCATTTAAGCCCCCTGGGAAACCATCATTTTCTAGATAAACATTATTCAAGGGTATGCATTAGTATTAGCAGTAAGAAACCCCAAACACTGCTGTGTAAAACTAGCGTAATTACTTTGCTTTTGAACAAAACCTAGTTAAATGACCAGTTAGCCTAAAAATATTGAATGTAAAAGAGCTACCAACATTTACAAATGTCTGTATTGAAATATTTTGTCCCAGCAAAGAGGAGATTTTGTTACACATCTACCATATTGCCGAATAACGTAAAAGCAATGCTCCCGATTTTGAGCATCAGTTGTGATCCCTAGGCCATTTCCGATTACCTCAGATAGTGATTATTATTACACATGGAGGTTATCCAACTTGTGGAAAAATCTCCTTGCAAGCAGGCTGATCGTTTATTCTGCTGTGTAGGAAAATGAAGGATTCAAAGTATTAAGGATATGCTTCTAGCAGCTTTAGGCAAGGATTAGGGCTGGTCTGGGCATTCAGTAAACTCATGGGAGGGCAGGCAGATAGTTTCCTGCATATCGTTCTCCAGGAGATCATCTGCCTGAAGGTGAGCTTTATGCAACAATGTTTCATGCAGGCAGAAAATCTGTTATTCCTACTTTTTCCATAGGGTTACTGAACTGAACATGTATGGGCGTGCCTGACTAATTATTGTTTTATTTGGCTTTCAAAGATACATTGTGACTGTAAGTGTATCATACATATAGTATGTCTTCAAACATCTCTGGAGGTGCCTGTAGGCCTTGAAGGAGAACTATGAGGTGAGTGCTTTTCACACAATTAAACTGTCAAAGGTCGGCTCAGTAGATCGGGAAGTCGAGAGGTGAGCGAGCGCCGGTATGTGTTCGCTCATTTCCCGATCTCTGAGCTGACCTGTGACAGTTTCATTGTCACAGGTCGGCTCAGATTATGAGGCTGAGTGAAAATCACTCGCCTCATAATTCTCCTTTTAATAAGAAACATAAAGAGATCTATTATTGTTATGTAGAATTAAACACTGAACAATATCAGGTCTAGCTCATCCACTCTTTTAAAGCATAGCAGTAATGTGTTCTTCGAAAGCAGAGTAATTCTGAGGCTCTATAGCAAGCAGTCAAAGGAGTCCCATCCCACCTTCCCTGTGCCATTGTTAGTGCACCAATGTGATATGCCAGCCAAATCCTCTTGTAAACTATATTCAAGCAAGCTACTTTGTCTCTGAGTTGTGCCACATTTTGGAGGAAGTGTGTCTCTGCACCACCTTCTAATGACTCCCTCCCTTGGTGGGACTTTACTTGTAGTGTGGTGATTTCCTGTCGAATTGAGTATTGTCTTGTCTTCTAGCTTTTACAGATGACACTGGAGTACTAAGTGAACTATGTGCTACAATTTCCCGCCTTTGTGTACGTAATGAGTTCTGTCAAGATGTTGTTGACCTGGGTGGTCTAAATTTTATGGTGGCTCTCCTAGCTGACTGCATCGATCATCAGGTAATAAACAGCCATTATCCACTGCAATATAGGCAAGCAGCTTCCACTGCAATGCCTACTTTAGAGTGTATGTCTGGGGAATCTCCCCCTTTTCTTTCTCCTTTTTTTTTTTTTGTCTTATTAGGGGCTTCTTTGTCTTTAATATTAGTTCATATTGAGGGTAGCGGTCACTTTTAGCAATCGTCCAAAGCAAACTCATTTTTTTGAAAAACTTTTAAATATTTTTATAGTTTATGTTGATAAGGCTCTGACTGGTTAGACTGCTTTTCACCCTGATTAAAACTGTCCTACCCCTGGCTCATTTTAAAGTGCTCTAACAGCTGAAGACTGGCTCTTTTAATTCTTGTAGTAAAACAGCTGTCTGTGCTAAGTATTTGTTACATTTTGGCCTAGTCTTTCTCATTAAAACTGTCCAGCCACTAACCAATATTTACATTGCTTTATTATCTGCAGGGTCACTTAATTTTTGTTGTAAAACACTTACCTATGTCTCTAATACATTTCCGACTTGTCTTGCTTATTAAAACTGCCCTGCTGCTGGTCAGTTTTTACACTGCTTTATTATATACGGTCTCCTAATTCCTAATGAGAGTTTGATATTAAGCAGCAACAAGACAGGTTAGCATAATTGAAAACAGGGACAGCCTCTGCAAACCGTTGGCCAGCATTTATCCAGCGATCCAAGCAGGCCTACTACCGCTTGATAAAAAAAATCCTGGCCCTGCTAAAGCCTCTTTTTAACTGAACTGAATTCGATTTGGGCGATGATGCTGTATGTAAGCCAAGTTTATTTAAAAGAATCCAAAGCCAAATGCAGAATATGCTGTGTGAGAACATCGTACCATTCTGTAACACCATGTACATCTTTAAGGGATCCCCAAACATGTAATTTAAAGGATTTTACTCTTTGAAGAGGCATCAAAAGGACCCTCTCCTGGTTGTGCAGAATTAAACCTTTTTGGCATTGGTACATATCTACATTGGCAGTGCCCAGCTTCCCATGCCTTGTTTGACAATACCTTGCATACTAGCTCTAAAAATGACCGTAGTTGGCCAACATGTGATATATTTGTGGTAGTGGGAATCTAAATTTTTTAAGGCTATCTTGGGTTGCATGTTTTCTCCTTTTGTCAGGAAACTAGCAGGGTTATTCACAAAAGAGTGAAGAGTTTGGAGAACACAGGAGAAGTGACCAATCTAGGACAACATGGCTGAACTGGAAAGTGAGCTGAATTGGAGAATTTTTCCAAATCAGCTATGTTGTGCTAGATTGTTCACTTCTCCTGTCTTCTCCAAACTCTTCACCCTTTTGTGAATACTCCTGTAGGTCATTTTATCTGTTGGCTGTATTCATGAATTTAACAATTCCTCATTAGACTAGAATATTTCTTCAAATGTTTTTGGATCTCTGAAGAAGTTATTTTTTAAAATTGTGAGGTAAATGGTGATCTATTTTGCCTTCACGGGGAAATTACAGTTATGGGAACATAGAAAAGATTTTAGAGGCTTTTCAAAGCCAGTCATATTTTGTATTTAGTCATCTCCAAAAATCAAAAGAAATGTGTTTTAAATATGTCTAGTTGTCATGTTTGAAATCGTTATGATGCGTGCTTATATTTCTAATCACCAAACCACATACTGTTTGAATGGTTGAGCATAATCTTTTAATTGTATGACTTCAGCTCCTAAGTCTTGCCTGGGGTTAAAATAAGATCAGGTGGTCTGTCCTTTCCCCCAGATCTTCTAACCTCCCTGGCCTAAAAAAATCAAAACAACAAAGCTATGCAGTGTACATGATAAGGAACTGATCCTTTGCTTCCTGACTATTATTAAAGTGATGGCACTACCTGTAACTACAGGATGTAAAGGCTGATAAATGTGTTTCTTCTGTCTGTTGCATATTCTGCAGGACAGTTCTTGGGATAGCCGTGGCATGTGATGGTTGTCAGAAGATCTGACTACTGAAACATCTGACTTATAAAATATCTTTCCATAAACATGCTCCATTGCTTTGGCCAAACGTGCATCTATATGCACTGAGCAGACAATCCTGGGTCGTATGGTTACCAGCAATATCTCGGTATGCTTTAAGAGTGAGCGCAATAGTTTTAGAAGAGCTTAGGTCACCTGATGATAGTGGACAGATTATTTTCAACTATTATTGATTATTGGTCAAGTATATAGTGTATGATGGATTTTGCAAACTAGATCACAACAATATATGTTGTATATTTATTTAAAACCAGATATCCTTATTGGTTTAGCACTTAGTATGATTGTTTTTTTTAATAATATTAATAATAATGCATGTTTTGTAAAAAAAAATAAAAAAAAATTCTGTTTTTTCTTTTTACTCTATAAAAGTTAAATTATATGTATTCCAAAAAGTACTTCTTAGTTTAGAAGTAGGAAAGAATTGGAACACCCTGTCAGTTTTTTTGCTTCGTCCCCCTCTCATGCTGGGGGAGAACTTCCCTTTGCAGCAGACTGCCTTGTCTCAGGAATGGATACATGGTGTCTGTGTATAGGTTTGCAACCTGAGCCAGCACTACAGGAAGAAAGGGAAGTTCTCCCCAAGCATGAGAAGACATGAGGATTTAAAAGGAAGAGCAGCAAAGAGAAGGGAAACTACCATGGATTACAGTATTGGTTTATGTTAAAAAATCTGAGGGTTTAATGTCACTTTAAGTGTTCGTTTTCATCTAGGGTTAAAAAAAAAACCCCAAGAAATACTCACCTGGCTGGCTGCCAGACCGTTCCCTGCATCCTCTCTCCCTCTCCGGTGGTCTAATAATCAGTGAGTCATCATGTCCAAATAAGTGTAATATGGCGTGAGGACGCTGAGAGACATTACATTGCTGGAGCGGAGAGGGAGAGCGTCTAGCAGATTTGGGTGAGTACTTTCACTCCCAGATCAAAATGAGCACTTAACCCTTGCAGTGCGGGGGTGGCCCCACTGCAAGGGTTACAATTTCTACTGCCTGGAGTTTTACTTTAAGTTAATGATCTATATAAATGACTGTGGTGTTTTAAATCCTGTTTTTCTCAGGAGCTCATAAAGCAGGTATTGAGTGCCATCAGGGCGATTGCTGGTAATGATGATGTGAAAGATGCAATAGTCACTTCTGGGGGAACAGACCTGATTGTTGTTGCGATGAATCGACACCTCTCTAATGCTCAGGTAAGAATGAATATATAATGTTATACAGAACTACTGAAAGGAAAAAAACAAGAATCTGTGATAACTCACTGCATGGCTTAATCACAGTGTAGTCCAAATGCTTTGCAAGAATTTGTTTTATAATTCCATTTCTCTTTTCACAGCCTGTGAGAGCTGAGGGAAAATCCCAGTGTTAATATCATAATAGCCAAGTAGAGTAAGCGTTTAATTTGCAGACATGACAGCTGTAAAAGCAAATCATTAGTATATTTTCAAGCCCAAATAAAAATTGGCAATCCACAGCATCTGAAAAAATAAAATTAAAGCAACTCTGCCTTTAACACTCACCTCACCTCCAGAGTTGTCCCCCTGCAGACTTACCAGCTCAGCAGTCCAGCACTGGTCCCTTTTTCTGGGTAAAACTCATGCCATCATTATCTAGGGCCACTCTGCAGCTTTTAGGATCTGCCTACAGGAAGAACGGTAATGTCACGTGACTTTAAAAAAAAAGAAAAGGTTGGGGGTGCTCCAGCATGTGTGTGGGTGGGGTCCCAAGCGTAGACTTGGGCTTTATTGTACTCAAGCTTGGGTATGTGCTTTATAAGTATGCCTCCTTTTGTATGTTATAAATGGAGTTGATACCCATGTGTGATTCACCTTTCACTCATGTAATTAATTCCCAGTGGGAAATATTGGTATTCTGTTATTAGTCAATCATATAATGGACGATGAGTGTTTGGGGCATCTGCACTGTCTCCACTTATACACGCAGAGCCGGACTCCCAATAAAATAAATACCCACATTCTTTTACTGCATGGTCATGAGCAAAATGGGAGCTGCTGGCTTCAATGTCTGCCTGCAACTAATGAAGGTCCAAATGAGAGTAATTACGGTAACAGCAATACATTTTAATGTCAATATGCATGCCAGTAAAATTGTGGGCAAACATTGTAAAGGGTTTGAGGGTGCAGAATGTCAGTGTTTGCCCACAATTTTACTGGCATGCATATTGGCATTGAAATTCTGCACCCTCAAACCCTTTACAATGTTTGCCCACATCTTTACTGGCATGTATATTGGCATTGAAATTCAGCACCCTCAAACCCTTTACAATGTTTGCCCACAATTTTCCAGGTATGCATATTGAAATTGTAAAGGGTTTGAGGGTGCAGAATTTCAATGTCAATCTGCATGCCAGTAAAATTGTGGGCAAATATTGTAATGGGTTTGAGGGTGCAGAATGTCAATGTTTGCCCACAATTTTACTGGCATGCATATTGGCATTGAAATTCTGCACCCTCAAACCCTTTACAATGTTTGCCCACATCTTTACTGGCATGTATATTGGCATTGAAATTCTGCACCCTCAAACCCTTTACAATGTGTGCCCACAATTGTACTGGCATGCAGATTGACATTGAAATTCTGCACTCTCAAACCCTTTACAATGTTTGCCCACATCATTACTGGCATGCATATTGGCATTGAAATTCTGCACCCTCAAACCCTTTACAATGTTTGCCCACAATTTTACAGGTATGCATATTGGCATTGTAAAGGGTTTGAGGGTGCATAATTTCAATGTCAATATACATGCCAGTAAAATTGTGGGCACACATTGTAAAGGGTTTGAGGGTGCAGAATTTCAATGTTTGCCCACAATTTTACTGGCATACATATTGGCAATAAAATTCTGCACCCTCAAACCTTTTACATTGTTTGCCCACAATTTTACTGGCATGCATATTGGCATTAAAATTCTGCACCCTCAAACCCTTTACAATGTTTGCCCACAATTGTACTGGGGGGCCCTGTTTAGTCATGCAGGAATTGGTGAGTACAGAGTTTTAATATTTTCTTTCCAATGTGCGTGTACTGGAAATGACTAAAGCTAAAAGGTTAACTTGCACCGTGAACTAAGGAAATAGGATGGATGATCTAAAGTGTGCTTTCTTTTTGCAGGTCTGTGAACAGGGCTGTGCAGCTCTTGCTATGTTAGCCCTTCGTAAGCCTGAGAACTGTAAAGTTATTATGGAAGGAGGCGGGGCCTTAGCTGCTCTCCAAGCAATGAAGGTGCACCCTAAAGATGCCAATTTGCAGGTAACTGTAAATCCACTATTCCCTCATTGTTGCAATAGAACTAAACAGAACAAATGTATGTAGCATGAATTAAAGTATTTGTTTTTTGTATTACTCTATAAATGTTTTCATAATTTACTGTGTCAGCATATGCAAAAAAGCCTACTCAAATCATTTTGTGTTTAGCTCCACAAGTGTTCTTTTAACTAGAGAAACATAAAAACCTAACGTTATATCATGCACAGTATAGTCTTCTTTCTAATACATAAGATAATATCAACTATATACACTATTGATATCCATGTGCCCCAAACTAGTTGTGTAGCCCATAATATACTGCACATAGTATGGCAATATGCTAACCACACAAACAGATAATTTCCCAACAATACCGCATTGTGACCACTAGATGGAGCTGAGGAGCATAGGAAAGAAGTATTTATTTCCTATGCTCCTCAGCTCCATCCAATGGTTATAATGTGATATTTTCCTCAGCTCCATCCAATGGTTATAATGTGATATTTTCCTAATATTACATTCAATTGTAAGAGAAAATATACGTAGAATGTTCGTTTTTTTGCCTGCATTCGCACAAAGCGAATGGTCACAGATTTTCAAAGTATGAATAGCTCTTTAAATTGTTTATTTATACACCCCTATGTATCCTCTTCAACCAACTTTAGAACACAAGAACAATTCCGTAGATCAAAGCAGCCTGCCAATATTAATATAACAAACATACAAATGTATGAAAGTGGACCTTACATTAAAATGCAAGATCTGCTTTAATGTCAGCTCCCACCCCCCAAATATAACTTGCAGAGTTTTTTAAGGGATAAACAATGGAGAAATGTGTGTGTATTGCAGAGATGTGCTCAATGAGTTTACCATATTATTTAACAAGATCATTCTTCTCTCTCCCTCAGAGACTGGCCTGTATGGTTATCCGGAATTTGGTGTCACGTACCCAGGATTTCTCACAACCCATCTTGGAAATGGGAGCCGAGTCCTTAATTCTACAGGCGCGCAACACCCACAAGGACTGTGATGATGTAGCCAAGGCAGCGCTACGAGATCTTGGCTGTACAGTAGAACTCAAAGAACTATGGACTGGCCAGAAAGGCAGCTTGGCGCAATAGCCTTAGTATTTTCTATACCCATGATAAACAAAAGCTGGCAGCTTATAGGGGCAGTTATGACAACCTTCTCCTGCCCACATATAAAAGAACTATGTTTGACCCCTGCTTAATAACTGTTGTTTATGTGTGTTTTTTGCTGATTTGCAATGTGCTGCATCTTCTGATACTTTTGATTTTATCCTCCCTGTTTGGACCTTTTAAACTTTATTTACGGAACTTTAAACATATATATTGCTTTATTTGATGAGGACAAAGCAAAAGGAGCACCTCCATAGTGTAATATTGATTTACTAAGGATAAAACACACAGATAAAAAGTTACTTACAAACCAGCTGGTATAAAGGAGCAGAAAGCGATATAATCTTAGGAGACCATCAAGATGAATACACGAAAATAGGGTGAGGGAAAGGAAGTGCTAGTACTAAGCCGAAGCCATCTGCACGCTGGCCCTCCTTCAGTTGACGTGTTTCTGAGGACAAACATCTGTCATGAGGTTCTGATGAAAGAGGTTTGTCCTCAGAAACGCGTCAACTGAAGGAGGGTCAGTGTGCAGATGGCTTCGGCTTAGTACTAGCACTTTCCTTCACCCTATTTTCATGTATTCATCTTGATGGTCTCCGAAGATTATATCGCTTTCTGCTTGTTTATACAAGCTGGTTTGTAAGTACCTTTTCAGCTGTGTGTTTTATCCTTAAAAAAATCAATTTTATACTATAGAGGTGCTCCTTTTGCTTTGTCCTCATTAGATTTTCTGTTTCCCTTGACTGTGAGGAGCTGCCCCCCTGTATATACTTTTGGAAGACCATTTTCAGGAGCAGTTACTGTGTTTTGGCGCCTGTGATTTTCACATATCTTTATTTATTTGATTTTACCTGTTGCAGATCAGTTAAGATAGGCAGTATAACAACTGCTATATACACTTGCCTTTTTATGGTGGAAAGTTAGTACGGTACTTGAAATGAGAAGACACATCATATGTAGCCATGCAGCATTTCCAATATAGAAAATGATAGCTTCAATATACTTGTAGCATACCAGTATACATATTTAACAAACATGTTAGGTTGTGCAAATCTGGAATTCACCAGTATAGTAATCCATTTTTTTCTATAAGAGAGCAAGACCTTCTTAGCACTCCTGCTGAA